AAATATAAAGTGAAATAACTTTAAATTACTTGAAGGTTTGGAAAGTTTCCAAACATAATGGAGAGACATGGTGCTCACGGAGAATGTAAACAAACCAGGTGAGGCACAGTGACTATATTACGAAGTGAGGTGGGGAGAGCCGTAGGGCGAGTTTTGGTCAAAATTCTAAATGTCAGTATTAGCAAAATGCTGTAAAAAGGGGCCCTACTATATGCGTCATTTTGGGCCCTAGTGTTGAGGTGTGCCACGTTTACTTGATTGCATTGAAAGGTCATATGGCAAGGGAGTTGAAAGCTAGGAAGGGTTATTACATTCATCCTTCTGTTGCAACTGAAGATTGTAAGACATCTCATCTCTCGCCTGGACCCATCCTGGATAGATATGTCATTTCAGCAGAGCCTTCAACACAGGGGGGATGTGGGTGGCCTTCTGTTATGTACAAGGCCAATATTGTCAAAGTGGCACACTTGGATCCACTTCGAGGACAGCGTGAAAGAAGCTTTTATGCCACAAGATAGGCAGAAAGCAGCAACTTCACTCTGGCTGTACCCTTCTCCAGAACATCACTTCATCTAAGATCATATATACCCAGGATGACTCGAGTATGGAACACATTTGTACAACATAATGATGTCAACGAGATAGTCAGTTGATCAAATGAAAATTCTGGCCCATAGATGGCTCCAGCTTCATCCTGTTCCCTACTTGTATGTCTCATAACAATAAAAATGCTTTCAAATGAGCTGATGTAGGTAACAGCTCTTAGCTTGCCAATCAAGTTAGGAATCCTTAACCTGTAAATAGCTTGTCAATAAAGCTAGGAATCCTTAACCTTGTCAAACCCTGTGTATAAAAAAAAAAAAAAATGCCTGCAGGAACTTCCCCCCCCCCCCCATTAACACTTCATTATAGTTTTAATGTGGTGGTGGGAATAGAAATAAGTTATTTTTATTAGCAGGATTGCTGTATAAAGATTAGAAAATACCCTCTCCTAGTGAGCTGTATGCTCAAATAGGGCATGGCCATTAACTTCCTCCATGGTGAATTTTTGTAAAAGGCTCTACTTGGAGCATTAATTAGGAATGTGTTCAGTTATGAATAAGTCTTATTAATCCCTGTGAGGACAAATTGAAATATTATAAGTTGGCTAATCCAGTCATTTAAAAATTCTCACCTTAAAAATTGCATGTATAAATATATATTTGTGCTTAAGTGAGATATTGGATTCTCATGCATAGATGCAGTGGCTGAAATGTGCTATATTAATTCTGTTTTGTGACCCTTTTTATTATTTTTGTTTTTCATTCTGAAATGTTGTTTAATCCATCAGGTTATTGAGGGCATGAAATTTGATCGTGGTTACATTTCTCCGTATTTTATCAACACCAGCAAGGGAGCTAAGGTGGAATTTCAGGATGCATTAATACTTCTCTCAGAGAAGAAAATTTCATCAATCCAATCAATAATCCCAGTACTGGAACTTGCCAATGCACAGAGGTAAATACATTATCATTTGAAACCTGTTTTAGACTGTAATAAGTAGAACATTAACTTTAGTTTGCACAAATATGTTGATACAGTATTGTATTTTAGGAAACCTTTGGTGATCATCGCTGAAGATGTTGATGGAGAGGCTTTGAGCACTCTTGTTGTTAATCGCCTGAAGATTGGCCTGCAGATAGCTGCTGTCAAGGCTCCTGGCTTTGGAGACAACAGGAAAAATACACTACAAGATATTGCTATAGCTACTGGGGGTATAGTTTTTAATGACGAGGCCAGTATGGTGAAGATTGAAGATGTTCAAGTGAGTTTTACCTAAATGTCTTCTAGTTTCAGTAAATGATGTTGGAAGTGTTATTTCTAACTTTCCCTGATAAAATTATAGGCATTGTGATGAATGTCCTGATTTGTTTCTCAGGAAATTTATTAGTTTGATAAGCATACTATACTGTTAACACCAAATTCTACAATGGAACTGGTAGGTTGGCAGAGGAAATTTTTATGCAAAAATTTTGAACTTTAATTATTAAAGTTTTGAGATTTAAGTTTTAACAGTCAAGAGGAACTATCAACTTAAACATATACTAAATAAAATTTAGCTTCAGAATGGAAAGTTTTGCTAAATACATGCAAGGGTAGTTAATAAAAAATACCTGGGGCTTTTGATGGCCTTCCAGATTTGAAGACTGCTGAGTATTAGGAAGCCTTAGTTATGACAAAATGGTACCTAGCATATACTTAATTTGCAATTTGTGCAAGTAACTTTTAGGACTTGTTAATAGTAAAGTACTCTAAATTGTCTGTACTGTCATCTCTACAGATTAATGTAGGGAGGGTGTGGGGTTGTTCCTAGGTCCTGTGAAACTATAAATACAAAATTAAGGCTGCATGACAAGGTTTTTAAATTTGAGTTTTTCTTAATGTATTGTATTACTAATCTGGTTACTATCGACTCTCAAAAGTAATGGCCAGAATGAAGACTGTCAGGGTTTAAAACCTTTGAGACAGATGAATAATTAAATCACTTTGCTGGTTACCCATCAGCTTATAGGAATGCAGAGGTGCATTATGGATAGGCCTTTGCTCTTTTTTTAAACATCTTTGTTCATTGACTGAGGATTGGAAATAGGCGAGAAGTTTATACTCTTTTAAAATGAATAATGTAGTACTTGACAAAGTTTACCTGGATGAGGATTTCAGGAAGGTGGTTGTCTTTTGTCAAGGGGGATCACTCAGTCAGTAATGGAAACCATCTTGATATGTTTGTGCTGTCATTCTATTTGAAATTTCTGTACTTGGTAGATACAGAAAACACAATGTATTCTGTCTCATGTTATTACAGTAGATGATCTTTAAACCCCTGGCAGTGTGCAGTGGAATGAGGTTTGATCTTGCACTGCTCCATTCAACCTTGGCTTTGTTTTGCTGTTAAACATAAACATGTCTGTCTGCGTGCTTGTCTCTCAGCTGCTCATAAACCCAAATAGGTATTGCACGCGATGCAGTCGTCATGTTGATTCCTGATAAAGTGAAAATGTGTATTGCTTCCCAGTCATGCTTATTATGCCTTATAACTACAATCACAGTATAGAAACTGCATTTTTTGGGTTACCCTAGGTAATTTACATGATGTATGATAACTAATGTGTACCTGTGAGACAGACAGTCAGCCATTATATTTCCTCAACTACTTGTGGCCACATCCATCTCAAAGCCACTAAATCAGGGTCAAAATCCCTTCCTTTTGAAGGGTAGTGTTAATACCCAAAATGGCATCGGTGAATCCCTGGTGTTTGCCACACTATTTACTCTAAACTGGTGCTCAATTGAACTGTTGCTCCCACAAGGTACTAAGCGGTCCAGATTTTTTTTTTAATACTGCACCGGCGTTTAAGCATTTCATATGACCAGGCATCTCCGGCCAATCGTGCCAAATTTGAAGGCATGAAAAATAAAACTATCTGTTTGGGATTGCTAGCAGTAACAATGTAGAAAATTTTGAACAGTTTGAGTTAAACCAAATTCACAAACGCCCTCTTCTCAAATTTTGTACTACATGGGGCAGGATTTTTTTTTTTATATGGTTCACACTCGCATAGACCCATTCCTCTCATTCTAGACCCAAAATTTACCAGTCTAACGCTTGCTGCTCATCACAGAGTTCTACAGCACAGACCCTGAGCTCAAACCTATAGTACTGTGACATGGACATTAAGTGTTTAACATCCAGTGAACAGAATGTTTTTGCAGAAAAACGTCTTGCAGGTTATTCCTAAAAATTGGGCTGTATAGCCTTGTGGCTTTAGTGCTTCTTTTTGATTATAATAAATCCTAAAAATTGGATAGTAATTTGAAATTTAAGGTACATGGCTGTTCCCCCCCCATCCCCAAAAAGGGGTTTGTTCTTTTTATGCACAAGGGCCCAAATATGAGCTGTGAAAGGGGCCTTTAAGTTTTATTTGAGCCCTTCGTGTCTAGTTTATCAACATACTTTTCATTTATCTGTATGCTCTTTTAACAATATTTAAACTAATTGCATTAAATGTCATTATTTTTTCAAGTCAGCAGGATGACTTGCAAAAAAAAAAAATTTTACTGAAAATCACTTGTTTCATCTTTTACATTTTCGATCTGGGCATGGTGGAGAAGTAAATGAAACGAACATACTTTTGAAGGGAAAGGCAAAACTTTGTATGAAAACGTGTTACACAAAAAGAGAAAGAAAGAAGAGAAAACTCTGAATATGAAAAGGAGAAAATGCAAGAAAAAAAGGCCAACTTTCTAAAGGTGTTGCGTAAATTTAAGGTTGGGGATCATCGGAGGTGGAAGTCAATGAGAAGAAAGACCTGTCTGATGCCCCCTTTTGCAACTAGAGCGCTATTGAAAAGGGATTGTTCCTGGAGGTGGGGCTCTGATCGTTGCTACCCGCATTGGACAAACTTGCCCCTGCCAAAAGGACCGGGGAAAAGGGCATAGGCATTGTTTAAAACTAAACAGAACCTGCCCTTTCCATTGCAAGAAAGTGTGTAATGCGCGGGAATTGTCAAAAAAGTAAGGAAGCTTTGGGATATGGTTTGATGCAGCAGCTGGGATTTTGTTAATCTCATCGAAGCAGGGACTTTGATCCTCCCAAGGTAGACAAAATAGGTGGATTGTGGTTTTTAATTTTTAAACAAGTGTTCTGTATTTTCATATTAGTTTTTTTTGGGATGGTACAGTACCAACGGGGGATTGATTTTCTTCAAATTATTTGATATGCAAATTTTTTACAAATGTCGGGATTTATTTTTTAAACATTTGTGTAGTGAAAATCTAGCTGAGCTTTTTCTACACATTTCAAATAATCTCATACTGTACTGGGGTATTTTTTTAAAAAAAACTTGATGTTTTTTTCTGATATTAAAAAAAAAAAAAAACCAATGCCAAGAAAAATTTGAAATGAAAAGGGAAGGGTTTAAAAAGAAAATTTAAATTTTTTTTGGGAATGGTATTTTCAGAAAGCCTGAACTGCGGGGGGAAGTGAAAGAGAAAGAGTCTGTTAATAATTTTAAAAATCAACTTGAAAAAACCACCCTAAGCAATCTAGAATTAAGTACTTTCATTAAAAATTTAGTGAATTTCTTGCAGTTGAATTGTTTCCCTGTAAATTTTAATTTAAACATTTTTTTGTATTTACTTTTTTTTTTACTATGTTCACAGGTTGTGCGATCAACTGACGGAGCTGTGGTGGGCTTACTTCTCACCCAGCAGATTTGGGTTTTTTTCGAAATCCCCAAAGAGGAGCCAGCTGGGGGAATGGGGGGAATGGGGGTATGGGGGGCATGGGTGGTATGGGAGGGAAGGGTGGCATGAGTAAATTGCATAGTGCGTACTTTATAAAAACTCCCAGTGAACATTGGATTTTGTGAGCAAAAAGTAACAGTATATTTATTTATTAAAAATTTGGGGTGCTGTTTTAAATGTAAAGGAAAAATGTGTAGTATTGAACAAGATGAACTTGTAATTGTTTTGTGCAAATTCCCCAAAATTTAGCAATCATTCCCAAAATTTTTTTTAATGCATTTCAATTTTATTTCATCTTATTCAAAGTGTGAATATTTTGCAGTAAGGATTAACGATAAGTGAAGTGTTGAAGTTGTACAAAGGTATAAAAAAGGGCCCTTTGTAGAAAATTTTGATCCGGGGCAAATAATTGCCCCCAAAATTTTAAAAAAGGTTTTTTTTTTTTTTTTTTGCAATTTCTTTAACCTTTTGAAAGCCCTTTTTTATAAAACCTTATATTTTAGAGAAAGGTTCAAAAATTAAAAAAAAAAAATAGCTTTTTAAAAATTTGTGTGAATCCCCTGAAAACAGGTTCTTTTGCCTACTTGGGAAAGAGGGGGGGTGCGGGTCTTAATTGAAACACCCTTACTTTGCTGGATGGGTTTGGCCCCTTTCAGGATGCCAGTGTTTATTGAACTTGGTTTTTGGAAATAACCACTGAATGTATTTTAATGTATTACTATTGCCCCCTTGACTACATAAGTTTTAAACCCTTGCAGCCCTCTAATCTCCGTTAGGTTTTCTGCCTCCTTGCTATAAAAATTCTACATAGTAGGTTGGTAGACGCAATCGCCCAGGGGGTATCGTCCTGCCAAGTGAGTGTCAAACGGAAACCTGTAATTGTTTTACATTTATGGTAGGATTGTGGGTTTTTTTTTCATAACATGCAAGATTTAAGGTTTCGTCTTGTACTTAACACTTAGGGTAAAATTTATTGAAGGGATTAGGGAAAGGTTTTTTTATAGCCAGACTTGCCCGGAAAGGGGAAGTACAATCCCTGCACTCTAAAGGGGGGTTGGGTTTTACGTTTGGAGGGATATTTGTGCTTTTAAAGGGTATTGCTTCTAAGGTTGTTTTTGGGCCACTTCTAAAAAACCCTGAGTGTGGGAGGTGAAAGTTTTAAATATGAAAGTTTTTTCTTTTTTGGGGGTCCCCTCCCTCGGGGGGAGATGGCTGACTTGTTAAAAATATAAATTTTTATTTTTTTTTTCAAAACAAGTGGGCCGTCCCCCACCGAGGCAGGGTGCCCCAAAATGAAGGAAAATCCCCAAAAAGAAAAATATTTTCATCATTAACACATACTATACTATTTTGCGAGGTTCAAAACACAACATTTAGAAGCATATACATATAAAGATAAAAAACAACCCCCCCTTTAAAGTGCGCCCATGTACTATCCTTTCCAGAATAAAGGGTATAAAAAAAATAAATGGTTTCCCTGAACCCCTTCACTAAATATTCCCCTGCTCACACTCAAACAGACGCAGGTCCCAAATACATTCACCCTACGAA